ATTAATGCAGAAAGATTTTATTATTTCTTGTGCTGGAAGAGACTCTTGAGAGTCCCATGGACTGCAAGAAGATCAAACCTATCCATTCTTAAGGAAATCAGCCCTGAGTGCTCACTGGAAGGACAGATCCTGAAGCTGAGGCTTCAATACTTTGGCCACCTCATGAGAAGAGAAGACTCCCTGGAAAAGACCCTGATGTTGGGAAAGATGGGGGGCACAAGGAGAAGGGGACGACAGAGGATGAGATGGTTGGACAGTGTTCTTGAAGCTACCAGCATGAATTTGACTAAACTGCGGGAGACAGTGGAAGACAGAAGTGCCTGGCATGCTCTGGTCCATGGGGTCACGAAGAGTCGGACACGACTAAACAACTAAACAACAACTACAACAATGCATTAAGAAAATTAACTTAGGCACAAAGGGAAGGATCTTTCTATAACTCAATTTCCCAGACCAGAGAATAGGATAAGTGCACACAGATCTGCTAATCAGCTGAGGTACCTCACTTTCTAACTAGTATCTTTTTTTTTGCCACCTGGGAAGTAAGAAAGTGTGACTGATTCACTGCTGCACACCCATCTCTTTGTGGCCCTTCAGTAATCCAAGATCCAGCAAGGAGGAGAGTCATAGATCCGCAGCCTTGCCCATCAGTGGCTGTTGTTTGGAGGGAGGAGACAAAAGAGATTAATTCCCAACTGCATCCATGTCCTCCTTTTTTTAAGGACAGCCAATGGGAGACATGGTGCAGTGAGAAGATGATGTTGAAGCAAATATCTGTGCTAGTGGGGACAAACAATGCATTTGTGCATAAAACGCAACACTGAAAACTTTCTTCCCTGTGTTCTTCTGATAGAATGAGGATCTTGCCAGTTGAGAGACATGTGCATACTTCGTGAGTAAGAAGAGGTGGGTGCCATGCCACTAAAGGTGCAGCATTATGAGGCTTAACTGTAAGATTACTACACCAATCCATTAAGAACAGTAGCAAGATTGGCAACGGTGATCATTATGATTAGGGTTACTTACTCAGTTGAAACTAGCAACATGTTAGCCCAAATGGAATGCACATTCTCTGCACCATGATCTCCTCCACACAAAATACTCAGTCATGACTTGAAGGAACAAGATCTTATTGATGGGGCTCACAAGAATGGAAATAGCACAGAAAGCAGAGGAAACTGTCAGTCAGGTCTTCTGTGCTCTTCTTGCCAATAAAGCATTTAAATCTTGCTACATACGTCTTTCCTCATATCAACTGAAAAAATCAGTGGTACCAAGCCAAGCTGCCATTGTTTTTGGCATACATTTTAAAACCTGTTTTGCTGGTTTCCCATACTTATGGCTAAGTTTGTAACAAATATTCAAATTTTGTTTACTTTAACTTTTTACATGCCACTTTTTCAGCTGTTATGAGTGGCCAAAATCAGCTTAGAGCTAAACTACTTGAATGTAATAATGATAAGCAGGTAAGAAGCAATGCAGCATGTATAATATTCCAAAGAAGAAATGGGAAAGCAAGTACATTGACAAACACCAGCTGGGCATATAAGCCTGCTGATACAAATCAGTTTTCACTGCCATAGTAGGAGCCAAACCATAATCAAGGGCAATGTGTTTCATAATCTGGAAATTACTATGGATAAGGCCCTCTTTGGCATCACCACCAACTAAGCCTCTTACTTGTATTATAGATGGCAAGAGAGACCTGTAACAGTGGCAATGTGAAGTGCTCTTCATAAGGGTTCTAGGTAGTCAAGCAACAATACCTTCTTTCAGGATACACCATTTCATAGTAATTACTATCTCAGAACTATGCATTCATGAAATTGGGAGGCAAATGAGGAAAACCTAAGGTTATTAATTTAGTTACCCAAGCAGAAATGAAGACAATTCATCTAATTAAACAATGATGTAGAAATACCTGCAAGCTTATTGGTGCTACTCAAATTTAGAAAAAAAAGGCTACATGTGTAGCAGAAAAGCTTATTGTTGGACTGTTACATCTAAATGTTTTGCACATAAAGCCATCAACTCAGCTACCTCTTGGATTATGCTGGAACTACAAAAAAAGAGTTTTGCTTCCTTGGTGCTAAAGTGTTCAACTTTCTAAGGCTAAATGTGCATTTTTCTGAAGTTCAAGTAGGGTTATAAAGGCATAATTCCAAAAGATTTACAGTCTCTTTGGTTCATGTATCACAAAGCTAGTCTTTAAGAGACCGTGGTCCATTATTACATCAATCCTGGAAGAGGACTGTGATCTGCAGCCGTAATTATATCACTAATTTTATTATCATAAGAACAGCTGCTTTTCTAATTGCAGTTCAGTTTAATGTCTATGTGTGGCAGCCATAACAGCAACATTATAGGAAGAAGAAGAACTTGAGCAAGGCAAGAACTTGTTTCTGATATTTTATTATATATGCTTGCCAGGATTTTAAAAAAGAAACAAATCAAATAGATTTTGAATAGAATATTCAAAGCTAGATATGTCAACCATGTTTCAGCAGCAGGAGGGCCACTTAAGAACAGAACACCACTTAATACTAAAAAAAGAGAAATGTGCCAAAAAAAGAAGAAGTTTTCTTTTGGAGTATCTCCAACCAATGGACTCCTGACACAGGCATTGGTAAGTTACACTGCCTCTTACATTGTGGGGTTGTAAAGATAACAGAGGACATCAGGTTTTAGCAGCAGTCTAGTGTTCTTACCAGAAACGGTTTTGCTCTATGGTGGTGAACCTGTGGCCCTCCAGATATTGTTGGACTCCAACTCCCATCAGCCCCAGCAAGGATTGTCAGGGATGATGGAAGCTGAAGTTCAACATCACCATCTCTATTCCAGTGTTTCCCAACCTTGTGCCTCCAGCTGTTTTTGAACTACAACTCCCATCATCCCTGACTAGCAAGACCAGTGGCAAGGGATGATGGGAATTGTAGTCCAAAAACAGCTGGAGGCACAAGGTTGGGAAACACTGCTCTATTCTATGACACCCAACTATAGAATGAATGGGGGACAGCCAAGAAAAGGCCATCATCACAAAAAAGTGCTATGCATAAGAATTCCTATCCTTGGATCAAAGTACAACATGTTCTTAAGTTCTGAACCATGGGACTTATATAGGTATTCACCTCATCCATCTTTTGCTTCAGTGAGATGCTCATAGTTCAGTAATATCCGCCCCCCTCCCCCCGGGAAGCATTTGTATGATAATTTGAAAATGCAAAGCACTAGCTGCAAATCACCTCAACAAAAAGTCCAATTGAGCACAATCCTCAAATCATTCCGTAGTCTCTCAAAGAGCAGGGAGAGGACTTGGCTGTCCTAAAGCAAAACAACACTGGTACATTTGTGTTTCAAAATAGGGCAACCTATTGAAAACAGAGTCCTGTCTCCCCACTTTCAGCGAGAGCTCCACTAATGCCATCTGAAAACACCTGCTCTCCCAAGCGAGTGTTTGACATACACTCTACAGAAGTCTGTTCCAATCTGGCAGGAAAAGCACAAGCTGTACACCCGTTCGAAAGAACAGATGAATAGAGGTGAGGAATAGAAGATAGCCAAAGAGGAAACAGACTGGCAACAAGAAATGGTCACCCCAGCAAAAGTACTTTCCCCACATTAATCTGTTAAAAAAGCACCCAAAGCAGCACAAAAAAAATTGCAAACATTATAACTGTACTGCTACAAATAAGGAGGTAAAAAACACAACATGCCTGTAATTAGAGAAGAGCTCTCTCAAGCAACTTCCCAAAAGAAGTTCTTCCCAAAAGAAGAAAATAATCATCAGAATACAAACATGTTCAAGTTTATCACTGCCAGTAGCACTATGCCAAAACCGAGCTGAATGCAGTGGACAAAGCAATAAGGGGCAGAAACAAATGGACACAGAAGTAAGAGCGACACAAATATAGCAAAAGCTCCTTCTGAAACCGGAAGAAGAATCCAGAACAGAAATACAAATTAACAGTTTAGGTGTAATTTTAAAGTCAAACTGGAAAGATTTGTATCCCTTTGCCCCTCTTGCCAAGTACAGGGTGCTGTGGTATCAAACCACTTTGTATGTTATTGCTGTTAAAAGCACATTAATAAGGCGGTGTTGTCTGAGAGAGAAATTTAGCAGGGAACAACATTGTCCAAAGAGAAATTTAGCGGGAAGAACTTGGCTTACGCTTAACTTTCCACAATCCATAAAATTAATACAGTGACAACTTGGCAAAGGCCAGCTAGTTTTTATCTTCTTGAACCATTTGCTTCTAGTTGTTCAGGACCATGTTGAAAGAAGACCCACATATGTGGCCTGCAGTGACCCAAGCCTCATGTACCTATCTGGATATCTTTCGTTAGACAAATCTGGGCCTGTTCTATCTACATAGTTGCCACTTGATTCAGTGATAAACTTAAAGGGTTGGATCCAAATAACTGTGAGTGGAAGGAAACAGCCACCACTGCTCCACAAATGCCCGTCCAAGAACTTGAACATATAGTGCTATAATATGTAGGTTCTCTTATAGTTGTTATGCTTCCAAGTTCACAAGCTTTTGTGCTTATACGAAAGAACGTAATTAGATTTAGTCAAACTTTTTCTCGTACAGCTCTTTAGTAAGAGGTGTAAAAGGCATCCCTTCAATAAGGAGAATACACATTCTTGCATGTGAGGCACAACACAATATCCTAAAAAAGAACAGCACAAATGTTTGACTAGTTTTTATTCAAATGATTTCTGCAGAGCTAACAGCATCCCTTTTAAAGTTTGCAAACAACAGCCTTATATTTATATACGAGTTTTTGCAAGTGAATAGCTCCATAACACAAGTTGCTTCACAGCATACAGGTGATGCATATGGGCAACCTCAACCATTTTGACTTACTTGGCTTCAGTATTTATTTATTTATTCATTCATTTATTTATTTAGGGGTTGTTTGAATGCCCTGCACAAAATCACTTAAAGCACCTTCTCACTTTAGCAACATATCCCTCAATTTTCGAAATGTATACTTACGGTTGGCATAGTTTTACTAAGTCCTGGTCAGTGGTGTTTGGTGGCAGACCTCGGATATAAAGATTTGTTTTGCTTAATTGATCCCATCCTGAGTTGCTGCTGCTGCTGTTGTTGCTATTGCTGCTGGTGATGATGGGGCTAGGAGGAGCCATTGGATGGGCAGGCACGATGGGCTGCTGAAAAATAAAGCAAGAAAAGAGGAGCTCATTTAGGACATACAATATGAACTGCACAGCACCTTGATTCATGCTGAGAAAAGTTCTGATGCTATTACTCCGTGGTACAAATATCCCTGCTTCCACAGCACCTTGGAAGCCTACAGAGCAAGTCACTCAAAGCACGCAAGGAGACGACACACGTATTATGGTGCAAATACATCATATTGCCCTTTCACATGATGGCATATAGTACAAAGTAGAATGTTTCTCTTTAAACAGACAAGCACAACTGAAGATGTAGAGAACATAGACCTATTATCATCTGCATGTCTCTCTTTAACCAGGCTAAAGCCTCCAACTTAAAATAAGGCTGTCAAATCAGCATGAGCTGACTATATCTACAGCTTGTGTCTACCCTAAACATACTGCGCTATGTCATATCATGGAAAGTTATCCACTCCTTTGTGCAGGGGGAAGGGAGAAGAAACTTTTCAGGTAGAGGCAATGTACATGCTTGGTGATGTATTATTTAAGTTCAAACACACTGAATAGCTTAGTCCTCATTGGAAATACGTACATAACTGAATTTACAACAATTATTCTTTATTAATTTACTTCTCCTTTTTGTTACTGCTCTACTGCTTCCTCACTCACCCATCAAGTTCTAGCTGTAAGCTCCTTGAAGCAAGAGTTGACATTTTTAGTTCTGTTGCATTGAACTATGCACATTTATGGCATCCATTATCATAAGTGTACTGGATTACCAACCATACAGAACAGGGGTCAGCAAACTTTTTCAGCAGGGGGCCGGTCCACTGTCCCTCAGACCTTGGGGGGGCAGACTATATTTTTTGGGGGGTGAGGAGAACGAATTCCTATGCCCCACAAATAACCCAGGGATGCATTTTAAATAAAAGGACACATTCTACTCATGTAAAAACACGCTGATTCCCGGACTGTCCGCAGGCCAGATTGAGAAGGCGACTGGGCCACATCCGGCCCCTGGGCCTTGGTTTGCTTACCCCTGATATAGACTAATAAGTCTTGCTGAAGCAAAACCAGCATGGCTTTTGAAAGGGTAATCTGCCCTGCCTCCTGGATATGGAGAACGTTCTTCTTGGATCAGCAACAGCTAGCCAAAGTTATGGGGTAAGCTAGTTAGCATATGTCTATGTTGTTTTCTTCTGTTGGATTCTGGACCTCATAATCTGTTTACTCCAAATAGGTTTAAGCTTCAAAATTAGTAATATGCTTCTTCTATGTTTTCTCTGGTCAGAATAATCATCCCAGCAGCAAAGCCAGAAAGAACAATCTCTCTGTTAAAAAATATATTAGCTGGTAGCAGTGAAAACCCCGATATAAGAACTGATTCCCTTGTTTCTGACTGTTACCACACATGTCCTCAAGGTCTGGGTTTGAGTAATACTAGAGTGACTTTCGTCCCCCATATGCAAATACTATGTTAAATGCATAAAATAAAAGATACAATGCAATATGAATGTGAATGATCTTCACACCCACAGACAAGAAGAGCAGGCATCAAATTAGGTCATATTTTCTGCATGTGTTCCTAGTTATAAAATTAACTTGGATTTTTAATGTTGAAACAAAGAATGTATATATAAACCACTCAGCATATTAAAGGCAACCACTATTTCTACAGCAAATATTTATATTACCAAATGAGGGAAAATGTTTAGAGGACGAGCCAAATGTTCCAACCAAAATTAAGCAGTTTTAAGCTCAAAGGAAAGAGTAAAGATGAAGAATAAATCACTCCAACTTAAATGAATGAAACCAAGAGTTTGACTTGAGTTGGACTGTGCCCTAGACTTGAGATCTTCAAAAACGCTGGTGCTTGGATATCTAAGCCAGCTGCACAGACAAAGCATGAAAGTTTGGCAATGGAAAAACTGAAAGTCTTAATTCCAAGAGTACCAAACACATTGTTCATAAGTACTGTTTTAAACAATGTTTAAACAATGTTTAGGTACTGTCTGAACCCTGAAAAGACCTAGTGGCTTAGTGCTTTGCCCTAAGAGAGGAGACTATAAATTGTGTTAAAAATGACATATTTCAACTCAATTAAATGCTTATGGACACTATGGGCAGAATAGTTCCACTGGTGAAAGCCTGCACAAGGGCTTCCATTAGTGCAATGGGGCTTCCCCTGGTTTCCTCAACTTGTACCCAAGATGCCTCCCCCCCAAAAAAAATTGGCTTGGGAGAACTCTCAGAGTAGTGTATGTTGGAATGGGGGCTCATTCCATCTGGCAAGCTGAAAAGTGTGTGCTGACAGAATGATTGTTGTAACTGCTATGCTGAATTTCTCCCATGACTACTTAAAATTTGAGAAATACTGATATATGTACCTAAAGCTAAAGAGCCCTATGGACATTTCTATGGCATATACTGTACAAATAGCAGCTGAAAGCCAATTACTTTGATAATTGAACCCAAGTAAGTGGGATGAAGAATGAGAAATTAGAACCAGTTTCTACTGTAAAAAGGTAAAGGGACCCCTGACCGTTAGGTCCAGTCGTGGACGACTCTGGGGTTGCGGCACTCATCTCGCTTTATTGGCCAAGGGAGCTGGCATACAGCCCTACTCAATTGTTGAAGTGGGCATGGAAATTTCTAATACTGCAGACACATCTCCCTGCCTATACACACACACACACACACACACACACACACACACTCTTCCACAGCACAGCAGTCAGTCATACATTTAATTTTTAAATATCTCAAGAAATCTTTGTAGCCATGGGATAGTGGTTAGAATGTCATAACACGGTTTCATTAAGATGAAAGAATTTCCCCCCCAAAAAATCATCTACAAAGAAATATACAACGTAAATCTGAGTCCTGTTTCAACACTAGTGAGGCCGATTTGCAGAAGAGCCTTATCCAAAATAGCATGTGCAATAAATTGAAGGATGGGAGCATTAGGACACACAATAGGTCAGGAGTGGGAAGACTCTGTCAATATTATCCTATATCATCCCAAGTCCCACTTTGTGGAAAGCGCCTAGGTAATACTGGTGAACTGCATAATCAAGGAAAAGGAGTCATCTGCATGGGGCAGCAGTCCCTTGGTACTGCAGCAAGAGTCCGCTAACCACCGCCGGGCACTGCTGGTAGAGGGACTCGCTCCACCACCAGTGTCCAGCACATAGAAGAACAAGCTGCATGACACTGGGGCAAATGCAGCTCATTTTTCCCTCTGTGCACTGCCGGGTCGGGACCAATGCAGCTCCATCCTCTGCCTAATAGTTATCTTGTCCAGTACACATTTTACTGCAGCATAAGGCTTCCCTGCAACATGAGGGATTTTGTCAAAAGCCTTACTGAAATCAAGATACAACCCTCTAGCTTCTGGTGAGAAAAAGAAAGCTTCTCCTTTTACATAGGGGCATTGCTACAATTAGGGGCCAAAGCAGATAGCGAGGCAGCTGTATAGATCCAGCTCCGAGGGCCTTCTGGCAGTTCCCTCATTGCGAGTAGTGAGGTTACAGGGAACCAAACAGAGGGCCTTCTCGGTAGTGGCGCCCGCCCTGTGGAACGCCCTCCCTTCGGATGTGAAGGAAATAAGCAGCTATCCTATCTTTAAAAGAGCATCTGAAGGCAGCCCTGCTTAGGGAAATTTTTAATATTTAATGCTGTATTGTTTTTAACACTTGATTGGGAGCCGCCCAGAGTGGCTAGGGAGACTCAGCCAGATGGGCAGGGTATAAATAATAAATAATAAATTATATTTATATTTATATTTATATTTATATTTATATTTATATTTATATTTATATTTATATTTATATTATATTTATATTTATATTTATTATTTAAACACAGACCTGCCCTCCTACAGAGCATAAGTAACCCGTGGCCCTCGAACCTTATTTTATGCAGGTCATTGAGGAAAAAGGGGGAAGGGGGATGACAGAAGAGAGAAACAGCTTTTGACTGCCCACCACCATGGTGCAGCCTCCCACAGATTCTATCCGAAGTAGCACGACCCACAGCAAAGATTGCCTGATCTTGTTGTGGAATAGGTGCTGAATTTTAGAGCCATGCACCCAGGGAGGACACACCCTTCTTCAACTATGCAGTGGCTCAGCTCCCTTCATTTTTCTCTTAGCAGGGAATCAGATGCCAAAAGTGATCCTGGTTGAGAGAAAAATGATCAAGACAGCCGAGCTGCAGTGACATAAACCTCAGGAGGGGGATGGTTCAGCTCTCCTAATTTCGACAACCCTTTTGCTTAAGACACATGCCCCCTTTTAAACTATTGAGGAGGACCATGTTATGTTGAAACACACAGGACTGCCCTAGTTTGGCCTTTGAACAGAAGCAGACTGTCTTAAGGGTGCATCTTCCTGTACAAGACATGCAATGCAATCCTATGCTTATTTGCTTAGAGGTTTTACAGTGCTATCCTATGCATAACTTGCTTGGAAGTAAGACTCACTGGTCTAAATGAAGCCAACTTCCTACCAGTGCTAGAAACTCAGATAAATAATTTAATCACCAAATGGCACCTTAAGCCTAGGGTTATGGTTGCCACAATGAAATGTCTAGGCACAGGTTGTTGGGGGGTTTTTGCGATTGAAACTACTATTACTGTTGTTATTATTATTATTATTATTATTATTTTCATTTCTATACTGCTTTATACTTTAAAGAACAAATCTCAAAGAACAAATCTTTAGAACACATTAAAACAGAAAATAAAACAATCCAGAACAAAAGAAATTCAAGCTTCAAGGTAAATATTTCAGATCCTTCTCTAAGTGAAGTGGCATCCAGGGATTGCCACATGATTGCAATTGGACCTATGCCAGTCACAAAATGTGCCTGGCGCCTGGCTAGTTTCTAGCACTGCTTCCTACATAGGGTGTACAAGATTGCCACTCTGCACCCTGAACTGTGGTCTAGAGGTCTAACAATATTCTCAGCATGCTTCACAGTATGCCATTCATTTCCAGGGTTTTAAAGCCACAGCAGTTAAAAATGTAAGA